ATTATTTTAATTGATTAATTAATTAATTTAAAGTCAATTTTTATAATTTTTTTATATAAATTAATTAAAAAATTACATGTATTTTACATTTTACTTAAAAGGTTAGAAATATGATAATTAGATTTTAACACCCACCATACTCGAACACTCAAACGTGCGTTTCCACGACAATGGATGAGGCGACGAACCAATAGAATCATTGCACCTGTTATGTTAAATCACTACAAAACATTATATTTATTTATATTAATTAAACTGAAGATTTGAATGATTTAACCGATTAAATTGATCAAACCGAGAATTGAAGGTCAAAACAATTTGACCTCCGGGTTGGTTTTCAAAATATTGTATGGACCATTCATAGTTACAAGCCATGCCTTAAGTTCATTAGCAAGCATGAAGACCTTCATCCTATTCTTCTAATAATTATAGTTAGAACCATCAAAGAAAGAAGGCTTGGTGGTAGACAAATTTTCAAGTGGTGTAGTAGCTTGAAATTGAGTCATTCTTGATCAACTCTTAGGTGGTTAAACCTTCAAATTGGTGCCCTTACTCTGACACCAATTATTGGCTTAATGCACTTCAAAAGGGTGGTAAATTGGAGTTTCAAAATTTTTTTACGCTTTTGCAATCATGAAGCAAAAATCAAAGACAATAGAAAAGAGAAGCTTGCACAAGATTTTATGGAGGTTTGATCTAACCATTTGGTATCTAGTCATCTACCTTGGCTTCACTCACCAAGGATTTCCTACATACTTTCCACTAACAAGATCAAGGGTGACTTAAAGGAGCCACTTAATCCCTTTTTAAGAAGATGGGTTTTCTCACGAATCTTACCTCTTTACAAGACAAACCGAACAATTCTCACTACAAATTACTCTTGAAGTAATAATCACACCTCCAACATAATCTCAAAGAAAACAAGTAGAGGATCACAAGTAAAGATTATTCAATGATCAAAATCTTAAGTTAAAGCACAAGGATCACAAATTGATAGATGAGAGATATGCAATGAAAAATGTTTAAAACTTGTTTCAAGGCTTCTACCAATCATATTTATACCCTTTGGTCAAAACTAGTTGTTTCTAACTGTTAGGGTTCATTTAATGTCCTACAAATTAGTTTAAGTCCGAGAAAACATGCTACAAACTTTGTCAATAGAGCTGACTATCCCTTCAAAGTTGGCATTCATAGCTAAAGCAAGCTATTTTGCTCCGTCTGCACTTTCTATTTTTTTGTTAAGCTAATTATAAAACACAAAGTCGGCTTAAGAAACTTGACTTCAAAAGATTAAAAAATCTATGAAAAATTTGATCGTTAAGCATTAAATGAGATATTATAGTTGCCTGCAGAGCCATAGCTGACTTTGCAATTGTTCTCCTCGTGCGCCATACTGCAAGCTTGAACTTTTCACTTGTAAAGCTTACTGTAGAGTCATAGCCAGCTTTGCATCTATTTTCCATGTACGCCAAACTGTAGGCTTGAACTTTTCAACCGTAGAGCTAGTTACAGCTTTCATAGTTGGCTTTCTGCATTTTTCTTCACTAGAGCCAGTTGCAGAATTGTAGAGTCAACTTTCTACACTTCATCATGTATTTTGCATTTCTCTAGAGCTAGCTACAAAAACTCATAGCTGGCTTTCTGCACCATTTTTAGGAATTTTGGTTCTTTTTAGTGTAGTTCAAGTTCATTCACTCTTGCCAGCTGTGATACCCCAAAAATTTTTAGAATAAATAAGTGTGAGTTAGGGACTTGATTGTGGGAAAAGTTTGTTTTGAGGCCTAATGTGAATATTATGAAACTTCAGGGGCTTAAAAGGGGAAAGAAATTGGATAAGGATCGGGTATTTTTTTTCTTCTTCCTTTCTTCTTCCCAGCCTTGCGCGTTTCTGCTCTTCTTCTCCCCTGCAGCTCCCTAAAGTCCCCCAAACTGCTGGCAACAATTTTTTTGAGGAAAACCGGTAAAAAGCTTGGATTTTCTCTTTATTTTCTTGTCCAAAAACCAGATTTGAGCTTAGAAATTCTTCCCCCCTACTGGAAAATCCGGATCTGCTTTGCTCTGTCCGCCGGTTGCTCTTGTTGTGGGGGCGAAATTCTTCAAATTCTGGTAAGAAACAGCCATGAATCTCCCTTCTCCAGCTTTAATTGCCTTTGGTTTACGTTAATTGCTCTTATCTCCTTCAATTTTTGGGTAGTTTCCGTGAGCTTCCCCCTGCACTGCCGTCGGCTCCTCTCCCAAACTGCAGCTCGGTTTTGCTTGCTAAATTATGGTATGTGACAGCCCTTTTAAGGCTTAAATTATCCATTTAGTTTGCTGGCTGTGTTGTCCAAATTTGACAGAAAATTGGGGAGGAATTCTGGTAGCTTTAGGACAAATTTAAGCATTAATTCAAGTGGGATTTATATGATTCAGTGTTACTTGACTGCTGTGTGATTTTTGGAGAAAATCCCGTGAATTAGCTAGTGTTTTGGTCGATTTTTGGAAGTGGAGTTACTGTTCACGTCGTGGTTACTGTTCACGGGTACTATTTACGGGCACTGTTCACACACAGAGGGTTAACAATTAATGGGGATTTAAATGATTAGTTTGTGATATAAGAACAAATTTGGAGATATCTGGTAATGTGGAGACTGATAGAAATAGCATTGTGATTAGGAGTGATCCTAATGAAGTTTTCAATTTGAATTTATGGTAGTGCGGTATTAATTCTCGTATATTTTGGTTAGGTTCTTGATCTTTGGGGTACTTTAGTACGTGAATTGAGTGCCCGGTTTTATGTGATTTGAGGTAAGTAAATTTATGGTAATGCTTGTACAGTTTTTAAAAGTATGTTTTGATTTGTTTTTAAAGTGGTGGCGGTACTAAACTTGTTTTATGCAAAAGTAAGTATGACTGATTTAAAGTGAAATTTTTATGCTTCTCATTAAATTGAGCATGCCTACTTGAAATTTAATTGATTGTCCTGATGATTTGAAAGTGATTGGTGAATTATGATCTTTCTGTTAACTTCTGCCTGTTTTGTCTCCGATGTGGTTATGTTATTGATGATCTTGCTAGTGGGGGTTAAACGCTAGCACATGTCGACATGTTATTGATAGAACTGGTTCATTCAACCTTGCTAGTGGGGGTTATACACCAGCAAATACTGTGGCTTGCCAGTGGGACGTTTATAACACTGGCCATGACCTATAGAGGAGACATCTATTTCGTTCTCGCACTGTAACCGTTTTTTGTGATTATTCTTGTTGGCATGCTATATGTTTAATTAAGGGCAATCCATATTTTACTTATTGAGTTTATCTCATAGTTTTTCCTTGTCCACCATTTCAGGAAGTGAAACCGAGGACGGGGAAACCATGAGAAGTGACGAGTTAGAAAGCTAGCCATTTCGAGATTTGATATAGATTTTAGAAATAAATCATGATCTTGTAAACTGGATTTTAATTGGAGATTTTATAAATTCATTGAATGGATTGTTAGTTACAAGAGATTTGACCTTGAGATTTTGGTAGTATCAGATTGTGATATGATAAGTTTCGAGCCTTGTGCATTTGTGGGACCTTCTCACAAGTGCACGGCGTCTGTCGCGCCTCGAATTCGGGTTTTGGGGCGTGACAGATAAAGTGGTATCAGAGTTTAAGTTGAAATTAAGAGCTTAGGATTAAATTAAGCACCTCTAGATTGAGTGGCATTAGAGCAGATTGAGTGGTATCGGAGCTTGGATTTAATTAAATACCTAGGTTTAATTGAATACCTAGGATTTGTTTGGGACTTGGCTAGCCAATGGATTTTAGAATCGTGGTGAGATGAGTGATGGGGTTCTATAAAGGACGATTTTGATTCATGTTCCCTGAATTTTCTAATCCATTTTGATGAGATGGTAATCTGATTGTTCTTGTTTCCTGCCTTCATACCCTGTGTAGATTCATGAAATTAATCTTGTCTGCCATGTTCTTAAGACCTTGTTTTGAAACTTGGTCATTTTCTGATAGCCTGCAATTGTTTAGACTTGTTACTGGAATAGAATTTTTGTATGCTCTGTTGCCACAATTGGAAAATTTGGGGAGTTGCAGTGATCTTTTGTTATTGATCCTGCTGGTCTCTATAGCACAGCTGGTTGAGAAATTTGTTCTGTTTGTCACATGACCAATGGAAGATGGGCAACCCTCTACTTTGTAAGAGATTCAAGGCCATTTGGCAAATGTTGTGTGTTTTCTAGATGTGTTTTAGGAGCTAGATAACTTGGTAATTTCGTTGCTCATTATCTTTTTGCAAGTCTTATAGTGAAATTTCACTTTTTCCATTTAGAGCTTCATGGTCTTTTCATGTGGCTCATTTTTTTCTATATTAGTTAATCAAAAACAATTATCAATTCAATTGAAATTGCTGTGTTTTTGTGAAGATTGGCAAGCTGTCATAAAGTTAAACTCTCTATTGTTGCCAATCTCTACATTCTTGATACTTGAAACTGCTTGAAACTCTTAAAATCCATCTTGAATCTTTCTTGATATTGCTTTGTACTTGTTCTTGAAACTGAAATCTAGAAATGGATAATGATTATTGAAATCCTCATTATCTTGATATTTGTTTGAAATTAATTCTTGTACTGTTCTTGGAATCTATTTCAAATTGTCCTTGAAAACCATTTTTGTCTTGACTCTTGCACTTGCTCAAATTTTGTATACTGCTCTTGTTCAAATTCTGTATACTGCTCTTGTTCAAATTCTGTATACTGCTCTTGCTCAAATCTTGAATATTCTGCTAGTTCTTGTTTCAGTATACCTATTGATCTTCTTCATTTTTGATTTTGTTCATATGGACACCTCTTTAGGAGGAGTGATGGTTATTGGAAAATACCTATGTGAGGCATCCTCATTCTTGTCTCTTGCAAGTGTTAATCTCTGTATCCTTGATGTCTTAGCTTTGACCTGACTTTAGGATGTCTATGATGATTTGATTGTAAATCTGCTTAGCCTCTATGGGCTACGAGGTAAAAGGGTAGTTTTTGAAACACTTGATGTCCTAGAGTTTTGTTTCAACTGAAATTGTTCTTTTATTTGACTGCTTAGATTCTTGTTTGGTCTTTAACTAGAAGACATGAATCTTCTAAGCATCTTGATCCTAGCCATTGCTTGTTCTGTTAATTAATTCTAGTACTTGAGGTACTCTCCAAATCCCCACGCCATTGACAATAACTTTGCAGCTTTCTTGGTAGATTTTGATGGTTTTTTGTTTGGTTTTCCTTGGATTTATGGTGTGTATTCATTGTTCTTCTTGTAGATTTGAGCCCCAAAAGCATACTCCGACGACTCCACATCACATCATCCAAAGGAGCTAACTGCCGTTGCCGCTGTTGCCTAGCTTGGAAATTGGGTATGCAGTCCAAGGTTAGTTTTCCCACCAAATTTTTTGATTTTAATCCATAAGAGAAGGTAGAAATAGAGATACAATTAGGATGAGAAAGAGGAGAAATTGCAAAAGAAGAAAGTTTTTTTTTTTTTTATTGATATGGCAAAAGAAGAAAGTTAAGAGGAAGAAAATGATACATGCTAAAAGAGATGGTTTAAAGTCCTTTTTTTTTTTTTTTTTTGATAAGATGTGAAATATTATTTATCCAATACAATAACATGATTGTCACGCCTCAAAACCTAAATCCCGAGGCGAAACAAATGTCATACACTTGTAAGGGAATCCCACAAATGCACAAGACTCAAAACTTGCTAAATTCTTATCTAGTAATCCACCAAGATCGATACAAATCTCTAAATAAAATCTAGCTTTCAAGAAAGATTTAGATCCCAAAATCTATATCTAAAAATAGTTTGTCAAGCAAACCAAATTACAAATTTATCTAAGTGCAAATATATGAGGCTAGCCTTTTAACTCGTTACTCCCCTCGGTTTTCCCCCATCTTTAGTTTTAGTACCTGAAATGGTGGACAAGGAAAAACTATGTGAGATAACTCAGTAAGTAAAAATATGGATAATCCTCATTGAAATTTTAAAGCATGCCAAGTAAACATTTTAATTTCAAACAGGAAGAAATCCACAGTTATAAATCATTTATGCATACTGAAATCTATTTAGTGGTCCCCTCAATTAGTCATGGCCAGTGTATTCTCCCAACTGGCTAGATAACAAAAATACCAGCGTGCTCTCACACTGGCTAAATAGCAGAAAATGCCAATGTACTCTCCCACTAACTGGATGAACCGGCTCTACAGAAATACATGTCGACATGTGCCAGTATTTAACTCCCACTGGCAAGATAACAGAATTCATGACCATATTGGAGACAAAACCATGCAGAGTTCACAAAAAAATTCAAAATTCAAAATTCACAAACCAATTTCAGATCATCAAAACAATCTAGTAAATTTCATGTAGGCATGCTCAACTCAATAAAATAATGTTATTTTAAACCAATCATGCTTGTGCTAATGAAAATCGGGTTAAATCCCACCACCATCTCAAAACAGTTTAAAATATATTTTCAAAAGCCTTTACCTTCAAATCCAAGGGCATTTACCATCATTTCTACTTACCTCGTTTTGTAGGTTCCAACAGCAATTATTCAAGGTTTCAAGGAGATGGTAGTGACTTAGAACCTATGCCACATTAAAGAAAAAATAAGATTACAATGTACCCCATTTAGTTAAATTGGTTTCTAATTCCAAAAAAAAAAAAAAAAATCAAGTTTTTATCCAAGGAAACAATTTCTTCCTACACACTCTTACTATTTCTACCCCTTTGAAATCTTATTAACATATAAATATGTTTAACCACACTTAGAGTATGCCTAAAACAACTCTCATTGTCACACGCAACAGCAGCATTTATGGGCAAACTAGTAGCTATTTATGGGCAAAAATAGTAGAAATTTCTAGCAAGAACAGCAGAATTCTTCTAGGCAAAATAACAGCAAAAACAGCAGCAAAATAACAGAATTTTCTGGGAGAACAGCAAAATTTTATGGCAAAAACAGCATGATTCTCTGCGTAAAAACAGTGCAGAAAACAGCAAGGGAAATGCAGCAAAAATGTAGAATTTTTTTGGGTTAAACAGTGCAAAAAAACAAGAAGGAAAAGTGTAGGAAAATGCAAAATTTTCTCGTTTAAAACAGTGCAGAAAAACAACAAAAGAAAGTGCAGGTAAATGCAGAATTTTCTGGTTTAAAACAGTGCAGAAACAACAAGGGAAAGTGCAGGGAAATGCAAAATTCTTTGAACTAAAACAGTGCAGAGAAACGCAGAATTTTCTGAGTTAAACAGTGCAAAAAACACAAGAAGGAAATGTAGAAAAATGCAGGAAAAGTCTGAGCAGAATGGAGCAGACAACAGCAAGGATAAGTGCAGGAAAATGCAGATAATTCTGCACCACAACAGGTATAAATTCTGGACACAACAGCGAAAAGTTCAAGACAAAAACAGTAGCAGAATCTAAGCAAAAAAGTAGCACAACTCTAGACAAACACAGCCACCAAATGGAAAATTTCTTAAAAAAAAACAGCACTAATTCAAGTGTGAAAACTACAGCAAGGTAAACATGATAGCACTTGATCTCATACTAACAATTGCAGAAAAACATCAACACTACTGCAAGTTTAGAGGCAAGAAAAGAAAAACATAAACAAATTCCAAATTCACCTAACACAATACTATCACAATCTTTCAAGAAGATAAAGAATAGAATACCCATAAATCCTATTCTATTTCCCCAAATCTAAAATGGTCAATATTCAATTAAGTCTACCAAAATTAGAGAAAGAATGAGATTGGTTTCGAGCTCGCACCATACCAGAAAATTGTGAGTGAGAGTGACGATTCCTCCTAAAATGGAAACCCAAATGGCAGAGATAGCCGAAACTTGAGGGGGCCAGTGTTTGCTTGCAGAAAAGGGGAAACCTAGGGCTGCCAAAGGTGACACAATTCCGGTTGGGTGGGAGAAACAACGAGTTGCTATCTAGGGGATTTATGAGATGTGGGTGAGAGGATTTGAAGGAGCGGAATTGGCAATGGGAGTTGGTAAAGGATGGAGAATGGTGGTGACCAACTGAGGATGGTGGGGATGGATTAGGGTTCCTTAAATGGGAGAATCGGGAGCTTATACTCCTGACCCCCATTTTTTTTTCTTTGCAGCTAACTTCCCCCAAGATTGAAGAATGAGACAACTAGGTCCCCCATTAAAATCCCTTTTTATACTAGTCTTCTCCTATCTAAATTAATTAATTAATTAATTAATCCACATAAGTGCTAAAATTTTGGGATATTACAGTGATATAGAAATAAACAAATTTCATATAGCCTAACTAGTGGCCAAACCTGATTTCTATGCAGGGTAGGGCCTTATGACAATTGGACTAAAATTGTTAATTTTCTAGTAGTGACCTCACTATGCTTATTTGGAAAAAGAATATTTCAAATTAACAATAAAAAATAAATAAAAATAACTAGTAAATAATGATAATTATTAGTATATTTTTTCGCTCATTTACTAGTCTCCAAAGAATTGTCTAGGATTGTCATGCCTATGGTCTTTTTATCATTGTTAGTAATTCTTCAAAAAACAGATAAGTTGAAGAAACTAATGAGTTGTCCAACAATTACATGTTAGACAATGATCTATTTTGAAAGATTTTAGAAAAGTTAATAAACTCATTTTTAAGGTATAATTGTTTGTACTATGAATTTATTATTTTATAATTATTTTTTATTTATGCTTAAGAATTTAAACAAATTAAAGAGCATTATTTCTCAAATAATATACAAATCTATTTTTTCTTAAGTCCTAAATTATGTCCATTTTATTAAGATTAATTGTGTTAATGTAATTTGATTTCTTGGTGGTTGCTATATGTGCACCAATTTGGATATTTTTGCAATTGTCAACAAATTCTCCAAGGCCTGGTACTAATAGTATGCTGGAATAAGAAAATGAAGATGGACACCAAGGCCTGGTACTAATAGTATGCTTGAATAAGAAAATGAAGATGGACATAAGAGAAACAGAGAGAGAAAGTGTAGTTTAAGATTTTAATTTTTTTAATATTCTAAAATTATTAATTACACTAGATAAAGCACCAATGAAGTTTTTTTTTTTTTTGTAAATAATTTTCACATCATGGAATATTGAAATCCACTAATGGGCCAAAAAATGTCAGAATTGAAATCCTTAGTTAAAAGCAATTAATGTTTGTTCCTTTAAGTATTAAATTGATGAAACTTAGTGTCTTAGTTATTTATGGCAATTACCAAGGTAGGGCCTTGCCTCTTTTAGCTTACTTTTTGTTAATACTTTTAGGGGGAAGGGTAAGGCACAAGCCCTACCCTTCCCTTTAGTAGTTCCACCACTAAGCCTAACCAACACACTTGCAGCTTGGAAGGTGATATGATCATCCCATTTGCCAATCCTACAAACATCTATGGCCAAAACTTTATAGCTAGAAAATTAAATATTGCTACAGAAACAAAACTTAAAGCTAAACCTATAAATTAGCTTCGGAAAGTAGTACCTATACCTATCAAAATTGTAGGTAGCTACAGAGTATATTTGTTATAGCTATTATTGCCTATTAGCTACAATTTTATTTCTTATATCTTAAATTCGTAGCTATAGATACAAATTGTAGTAGTGGATTTGGAAGTATTGTGTTTGAGTTGAGGTTGAGATGCATATAGGTGTTGTATTAAAGTGATATTTATATTTAATTTCTATATATAAAGTTATTTATTGTAAATTATTGAATTAGAATGATATTTAGATTGATTTTTTATATATAAAGTTATATATTTCAAATTTGGATTGGATCTATAGGAACCCATTTTCATTTTTGTAGATTCAAAATCCAGCCTTCATTGCCTTTACGCTATCACTGCAGGTAGAGATTGCTATTGCCTTGCCCTTCCTTGCCTCTTGGATGGTCAGTTTTTTCACAAAAAATTTGGAGAATTTTGCAATGGTTTTTGGATTTATAGTAATTTATCCTTTGTTTTCTTTATATATTTTAGATCTAAATCCAACCTGTACAACATTATCGTACCCACTGCTAGAGGTAAATGTAGTTTTTCCATATATATGTTATTTCTTTCAATTTTTTGAGATTGAGATATGTATGGTAATTGAAGTTTTATTTTTATTAAATTTGCATATATAAAGTTTAGGAATTTCGGATTATTGCATTTGATATTGAGGTTAAGATGGGCATGGCTATTGAATTAGAGTGATATTTATATTGAATTTCTATATATCAAGTTATTTATTTCAAATTATTAATTTTGGGATTGAGTTTGAGATACATATGCTAATTGAAGTATTATTTTTATTAAATTTGTATATAAAAAGTTCAGGATTTTGGAGTCTTGCATTTTGAGATTAAGGTTGAAATTGATATTAAGATTGAGGTTGAGATGTATATGAGTATTGAACTAGAGTGATATTTGTACTAAAGTTTTATATACAAAGTTATTTGTTTCTAGTTATTAATTTTGGGATTATGTATGAGATTGATACTAAGATATGTATGCTTAAAGTGTTATTTTTATTAAATTTGTATATATAAAGTTTAGGAAATTTGAGGTATTGTGTTTCATATTGAAGTTGAAGTGCATATGGGAATTGAACTAGAGTAATATTTTTTATTGAATTTCTATATATAAAGTTATTTATTTTAAATTATTGATTTTGAGATTGAGATTAAAATGCTTATTAATTGTTGAATTAGAGTGGTATTTGTATATATTGAATTTTTATATATCAAGTTATTTATTGTAAATTATTGATTTTGAGATTGAGATTAAAATGCTTATTAATTGTTGAATTAGAGTGGTATTTGTATATATTGAATTTCTATATAAATTTATATATAAAGTAATTTATTTCAATTTTTAAAATTGAGTTTAGTATGAGTATGGTTATTGACATATATGGTTATTGACATTTTGATTTGATTATTACGGCTAATATGTTAATACAATTTGTCAAATTGAAATTTAGATTAGGTAATTAAATGGAGGACCGCAGTTTGATAGATTGTCGTGTAAATGATCGTGGTTTTATTACTAATAAATTTAAAGAAGAGGTACAATTTTTTGTGAGATTTGCATTCTTTAGACCTGAGGCAAAATTAGAGATCAAGTGTCCTTGTTCAAAATGTAGATGTAGGAAAAGGGGGAACCCTGAGGTTGTCTCAATGCATTTGTGTAAGCATGGATTTATGAACAACTATTATACATGGTATGTTCATGGAGAGACATCCAACAATCTAGCAAGAAACTTTATAGGGGAATCTTTTAGCTCAAGGTTTGTTAAAAATGAATCGGATGCAATGTATTATGAAATGTTAGTTGATGCAATGGGTATGAATTCAATGAGGAGCCAACAGTTGAGGAGTCAAATCGTAAGGTAAGAGAATTTTATGAACTTTTACATGTTGCAGAAGTTCATATAGGTAGTGGGGAACAGACTGTGACTATTATTTCATGGATGGTAGAAACGCTAAACATAAAGACTCTTTATAATATGAGTGCTGCTAACTGGGAGACGGCATTATCATTGAGTTGAAAGTTGTTAAGTGCAGAGGACCTAGGAAAGGTGTCGAAAGATTTCTACAATGTTAAAAAAATGATAAATGTGCTCGGACTGGGTACAAGAAAATTGATGTTTGCATCAATGATTGTTTCTTGTGTTATGATGAGCAAAGCAAGAATTTAAATGCTTGTTTGGTGTGGAGAATTTCGTTATGAACCGAGGAGCATGGCTACGGTGAGGCAAAAAGCAATTCCAAGAAAATCTTTGTGGTACCTTCCAATTACCCTAAGACTACAACGGCTATACATGTTTAGGAAAATGACGAAGCACATGACATGGCATTTGAAATGCAGTGATGATTCCGATGAAGTTATTCATCCTGTAGGTAGTCAAGCATGGAAGCACTTTGATGAAACATACCCAACATTTGCCGCAAAACCTAGAAATGTTAGACTTGGGCTGTGCACAAATGGTTTCAATTTGTTTGGCCCCTCTGTATCAGCTTACTCTTGTTGGCTTGTTTTCCTGATAGTCTATAACCTTCCGCCTTAATTGTGCATGAATGTTGACGTGCCAAAATGGATGGAGTCGCCGTCTATCCAAATGAGGTGGGATAGATCACCAAGGTCTACATAAAAATTGACTAGGTTCGTAGGATCGATTAAGCATGGGGAAGGTGTTAGGCACCCCACAACTTCCATATGGTCACCACATACTTTAATTTTGGAAAATTTTTAGTTTTTATAAAAATAAATAATAATTATCAAGAAAAGTAAACACAAAAAAAAAAAAAAATTCAATCAAAACACCTAAAAGCACTTCATTATCATTTTTCCCTTTTCTTTTTTTTTTTCTTTTTTGTTTCTGCTTTCTTTTCTTTTTCTTTTTTTTTTTAAACCTAACTATTAAGAAAGTTCTTCTTATTCTTTTTTTCTTTTACCTGATGCATCTCTTACAGTAATGACAATATCTTCGGAAAAAGAAAACGCTTTATGGGTAAACAAAACAAAAACAAACAAAGTAGACTTCTCCCGAAAAGATTCTACATTACTGGTATAATTCCCAACAATTAATATATCACGATCTATAAACATTTTCTTTTTTATCAAGATTAATTACAAGCAAAACATGGAAAGAAACAATTTAAAAGGGAAATCAAGCAATTACCAATAACAAAAGAAAGGAAGAAAGAATAGAGTATAACAAGAAGGAAATGCAGAAGAACAAATGTAGGAATGATGCACACCTGAAGCAAATAGAAGAAAAAAATCAAGACTTTATTTCTTGAAGTCCAAATACAAGTTTCTATATCTCTCCTTTCTTCTCTACTCTCTTTCTCCTTCTCAATCTCTCCGATATTCCTTTCGAGCTTTGCCAATTTTCTCCCCTTTTCTCCCGATTTGTTTCCCAATTTTTGAATCCCCCCCCAAAAGTCGAAGGCGCCCCCCCTTTTTATACAGAAACAGAGAGGACTCCAATCCTTTTCTAATTCTACATTTTAATCCCAATCCCCAAAATTACAAATAATAATCTAATCCTATTCGAAATTGGAATTCTAAAACTAATCTAGTCTTTTACACATCTTTCCTCTTTCAAGACTAGATCCATACCTTTTAAAGATCAGGACTCCTCATTTGAATCGACTTTGAAAACTTCTTCTTCAGTTCTTGATAAGGACTTCAAATTCGAAAATCTCTTCTTGTGTTGTTGTGATCTATTTAAACTTTGAGTGGATTTAGAGATAAATCAAAATAATTTTGAAGTTTTGGGAGAGTGGCTGCGGCAAAGCAAGAGAAGGCAAGAATCGTGAAAATTGAGGGCTAGGGTTTGTCTGAACCCAGACCTTTTTTTTTTTTTAACCTATTGGTCAAAACGACATCATTTTGCCATTTTCTCTTCTCAACCTTTCAAGTTCCAGCCTTTATAAAAATAGTCCATTGCCTTCTAATTTTATCATTTAGCCCCAATTAAAATTGGGTTATGACAGTTGCCCCCTCTTTACTTGTCTTTTGTAAAATGAAAAGTAAAGAATAAAAGAATAAGCCAATTTTAAGCTTTGAAAACAATGCATAAGTGAAAGTTGCAGTCTTCATCTTATCTTTTGCAAGATGTGGTCTTCATCTCTTGCAAGATGTGGTCTTCATCTCTTCTTCTTCTTGAGATGTGGTCTTTATCTAGGATGTGACTTCTAAGATGCGATCTTCATCTTATCTTTTGGAAGCTGTGGTCTTCATCTCTCCTTCTTCCTCAGATGTGTTCTTCATTTCTCCTTCTTCCTTAAATGTGGTCTTCATCTAGGATGTGACTTCTAAGAGATGTGACTTCTAAGATGCGGTCTTCATCTTATCCTTTGCGAGATGCGGTCTTCATCTTATCCTTTGCGAGATGCGGTCTTCATCTTATCCTTTGCGAGATGCGGTCTTCATCTCTCCTTCTTCCTTAGATGTGGTCTTCGTCTTTTCCTTTGCGAGATGCAATCTTCATCTCTCCTTTTTCCTCAGATGTGGTCTTCATCTAGGATGTGACTTCTAAGATGCGGTCTTCATCTTATCCTTTATGAGATGCGGTCTTCATCTCTCCTTCTTCCTCAGATGTGGTCTTCTTCTAGGATGTGACTTCTAAGATGCGATCTTCATCTTATCCTTTGCGAGATGCGGTCTTCATCTCTCCTTCTTCCTCAGATGTGGTCTTCATCTAGGATGTACTTCTAAGATGCGGTCTTCATCTTATCATTTGCGAGATGCAGTCTTCATCTCTCATTCTTCCTCAGATGTGGTCTTCATCTAGGATGTACTTTTAAGATGCGGTCTTCATCTTATCATTTGCAAGATGCGGTCTTCATCTCTCCTTCTTCCTTAGATGCGGTCTTCATCTAGGATGTGACTTCTAAGATGCGGTCTTCATCTAGGTTGTGATTTTCTAAGACGTAACTTTGTCTCTCTCTTCTTCTTTTTTTTCTTTTTTTTTGAGATTAAACTTCATTTCTTCTTCTTCCTAAGATGCAACTTCATCTAGGATGTAAGTTTCCAAGATGCCAACTTCATCTTTTCTTTTTTCTAAGATGCAACTTCATCTATGATTTGATTTTTTAGGACACAACTTCGTCTTCTTCTTCTTCTTCTTCTTCTTCTTCTTTTTTAAGATGCAATTGGATCTCTTCTTCTTTGACAATGATCTTTAATTAGAATTTCTTCAAACCTCAAATAATTTGTGCCTCTTGCCAATGTTCAATTCCATCTTGAACTTTCATCAATATCATGACTTTGAACTTTACAGGCTCAAGAGATTCAAATGTCCTTTAGTGTCCTCTTGAACCGTTAGTAATATTTTCCCTCTCTGATTATGCTTTAAATTTTATGAACATGTTTGATTCACCCACACTATCATCAAGAATTCAATGTATCTACTTGTATTTTTTTAAAATGTCAAATCCTACATGCAAAAATGATGATTTTTGAACCTTTCAAAGATGTTGAAATCAATGTCAAATGCAGTGATGCTTAAAACAATCATGGGTAAGATTAACGAAAAATCTTGTGAAGCACAATGGATTATATGAACAAATAATATAATTTAACTTCCATGAGTAACAATTGCCAATTTGACCTAGAACACAATTAAGATGCCACTTTCATACAATTTTTTTTTTTTTTTCAAAAGCAACTCCCAAAACACAAACTTCTTTTCTCACTTTTTAATTTTGAATCTTCCTTTTCTATTTTTCTTTTCTCTTCTTTTTTTTTTTTGTTCAAAAAGAAATTGATCCCATTTTCATAGATGAGCAAATTCCTCAAGAATAGCTTTGTAAGAATTTCAAATAGTGAAAGTGCCAATGAGAATTATTTCTTGAATTAGGAACCAAGTGGAATTTTGAGGTTTTCAAAAATTGAGATTTTGGCTAGAGCAATGAAATTTTCCTTCCCATGAAATCTCAACTTGTTTGCCACATTTATTTCTATTCATCTTCCTTCCTTCTTTCTTCTTCTTCTTCTTCTTTTTTATTTTTATTTTATTTTTTTTTTTTTGAGAAATATAACACTCAGATTCAATGGCTTTCAAATTCTCTGATAAGGGCTTTGAATAAGCTTGTATCATGGTTTAGGGCTTGGCTAATTAGAAAGAAAGGACATATAAGCTCAATGATAAAATCCCTTCTCCCCCCCTAATTTCACTCTTCACACCCTAGGTTCTTGATGTAGGTACATTCAAAGAAATAATCATCCTGGCTTTTTTATTATGATGATTGCCTTTTCTTTTGGCTCAAAGTGGGTAACTAAGGTCAATTTTTAGTGTTTGGGAAATAGAAACAAGGCCTTTTGTCATTGAACCTAAAAGCTCTTTAATCTAAGTATCATTTGCTATCCCTAGTTTGGTGATTGCCATCATGAAAATGTCTACAAATATCTAACCCTCAAAAAGGACCTTTTTATGGCTTGTTATAGGGTTTAGGTATGGCTACTGAAAAAATAGTCAATATATGCTTGAAGTACTCAATTTGCCCCCCAATTGCATGCCATATCTTAGAGATTCCTTCTTCAATTTATTTTAAAACTTTCTTCTCCTTTATTGGCTCCTTTATCCCATTTTCTTCTTCTTCTCCCCCCCACCTTTTTTTTTTGAGCTTCCACTTTTTTTTTTTTTTTTTTTTTTGAGCTTCTTTCTTCCTTTCAAAATAATTTTTACCAAATCTTCCAATGAAAGTAACATTTGCCTCCAGTTTGGCATGCAACAATATTCTAGGTTGTTGAATTGGTCATGAAAGAATGTTCATTGAAATTAAGCTCAAAGTCTTTAACTAAGGGTAATCTTTCAAGGTTTAGGGAGTAGAGTTTCAAAAGGAAGGCCTTCTATCGCTGGATCTTCTACCATTCATCCATTATTTTCCCCTCAATCACCTCCCTCATTTCTCAACCTCAATTTTCTTTATGGGATTCAAAATTGAATTCAAGTTCATTAACAATGCAACTCCTGGAAGCATAAAATTAAGGACTGAATAACTATGAATTAAAACATGAAGAACAAAGATTCAAATTGCAATATGAAAGGAGTTTGGAAAATGCAAATAAAAACTAACATGATAGACACATTTTATTCCAAAATGATAGCAATAGGGAAAAACTCCATTGTTCACTTATTCAAGCCTTCATCAATAGTGGTTCTAAGATCAACCTTGTATGAGTGAAGCTGTAAGTGTTTTGAATCCTTCAAATCTTGAATCTTATGCTTCAAAGTTAGACACCTTTCTATATCATAACCAATGGTCCTGCTATGATAATCACATTTGGCTTGTGGATCATACCAAAATGGCAAAGGATTAGGAGGCTTGTTTGTAGGGATTGGAGTCAATTCCCCAAGCGCTACCATTTGATTGAATATTTTTGAATATGATAATGGTAGGGGATCAAAATGTCGATACTTCCTTCCTTGATTTTGAACTGCTTCTCCAAGTCAATACGCAACAGAATTCACCATTTGTATTTCATTCTCTTTTTTTGTCCTTCTCACTTCAGTTAACTATTTTCGTGTTAGTCGAATTATCCAACTCCAACAATTTACCATTTTGATGTTGCTCAAGATTATCCTTTATAGCTTGATAATCTAGGATAACACCAAGTTTGATTTCATCCTCAACTTGTTCTCCAACAATAACCAATTGAGCAAAAGTGTAATTCACACAAGTCATTAACTTCTCATGATACGACCCTTTGACTTAATGAATAAATTACTCAATTCATGGTCAGTTAATGGAGGTTGAACTCGAGCAGTCATTCCACACCATATTTGAGCAAATTCCTTGAAGCTTTCATTTGATTTCTTTTCCATCTTTTGCAGATCTTCTCTATTAAAAGCTATTCATGAAATTGTGAGTCAAACCATGCCAACTCAGGACCTTACTTTTGTCTAAAGTAGAGAAGCAAGCATCTGCAGGGCCTATCAGACTATCCCAAAAGTAATGTATCATTAGCTTCTTGTCACTGGCATAAGGATTCATCTTCCTACAATACATTGTCAAGTCAGCATAAGGACAACTAGTGCCATTGTACTTATCGAATTTAGGCAATTTGAACTTATGTGGCAGTTGAATGTTTGGGAAAAGGCACAGAGATGAGATGTCAATCGGTTTATTGTTTTGGACACCTTGTATCGATTTTAGTGTTTCCTCCATCAATTGCACCTTTACTTTAATTGCCTTGTCTTCAACCTCAGTGATTGACTTGACAACTTGAGTAACACCAGCACTTAGAACAAGTGGTTTTGTCCTAGAAGCTCCAATAATCGGATTTGGTGGGCTAGATGACATTGGTTCCTTTCCAAAAGTTAAAGGAGATGTGGCAATAGGGAGATCTGCCATAAAAGCATTTCCTTCAATTAATGGATTTGTTGTCAAAAGTGCCCTTG